TTTTTTATAATATATATAGTATATGTAATATTATAAATAATATATATCGTATAGTATATGTAATAATAATATATAAATATATATAGTAATAGTATATGTAAAATATGATGAAATATAGTATGCAATATAATAATATATGTACGACAGCATTTTTTTAGATTTTTTTTTAATATATACGACAGCTTTATGTACAAAAATTTTATAGAACAGTTTTATAGAAATAGTGTACAACTTTTTTTCATAGTTCTTTAATCCCACTTGGCGTCATTTCCTGATATCATATTTTTTTATAGTTTTAATATACACAACAGCATTACTTGTTGAAAGGTTTTAATATGTACGACAGCTTTTCTTGAAAGGGTAATATATACGACAGGTTTTTTTGATAGGTTTAATATATACGGCAATTTTTTTTAAATGTAAAACAATACTATTTTGTTTTGGTTGTGACAAGATAATGCTTACCTCGATGCTTGTATCAACCGTGCGAGTTTAGTAGAAGAGAAATTTAAAGAAGATCTGCTAATGCTAATCAGTTACAGATACAGTTTTCTCTTCTTATTTTTTTGGTTTTGACAAAATATTTCTCAATGATTATATTGGTCATCGTCTTATGTCAGAGCCGCGGACTTCAGTATGCAAATTGTATTTTACAATTTATATTTTCTTGAACTCGAATGTTTCACAATCTGAAACCAAAAATATTTAAATTAGTTTTTTTGTAAATAAAATATTTTTAATAAAACAAAATAAGATAAGATATGTCTAACAAAAAGAAATAAAAATAAAACAATTAAAAAAACATAAACTTTCAATACAAGTCAATTATTTCTTTGATTTTTTTATTTCACAAATATTTAATAAATATATGAGATCGTCTGGCAACTCATCACAAAAATTTTGAAAACAATTATTACATCTCTTTAAGAGATGACTTTCGGACCTTTCTTTTACCGTCGCTTATATTTACTTGCTCTTACACATCGTTTGCCTTTTAGTTACGTAAAAGCGCAAGGCAACCGGTTTTGACACGACATACAAGTGGGGGTATTTTACTTTACTATACGAGCGTGTGCAATATTTGATGCGACTGTCGGCGCAAATCAAAATGTGAACCGCAGTCGCGTGTAGTGCATTCAATCGCTGAGAGTGAATTGCACATGTGAGAGCGCGCGTGTTTAAGTTCAAATTGTTCAAAGTTCTATTAGTGATTTAGCATTTTTAAACGCGATTTAAAAAAGTGAATATTAGAAAAGAGAATAATTAACTATAAATATCTTCTGAACATCAATTGTGAAAAACATTGCGCATATGGAAAACTGACTCTCGACGGCAAAAAATATTATAATTTTTATTCTGCAGAAGAAACTAGTTTCAAGCTATCGTCAACATTAAAAAAATTTTGACAGGTATTTATAGAAAAAAAATAGTTTTATATAACTCGCGATTAAATATCTGTTTTACAGTTAATTTTTTTATGCAAAATAATATTTTATTTTATTATTTTTTAAAATTTTTATTTGTAAAATTTATATTCATATAATTGAAAAATCATTCTACGTTATTATATACATAGATTATTGTATAATCTTATTTTTGTTCTACAAAAATGGCCAAAAAACGAGATTATTATATACATATGCAAATAATGGTGCAAATAATACACTGAATTTAATATTACAATGATATTTGCATCGTGAAAATTATAAAATACAATATACAGCAAGAAACAATTTTAATTATAGTTCAAAAACCGAGAATGCGCGAAAGTATTCGCTATGATACGATTTGAGAGCAGTTATGTATGTACGAACTATTCGTAAGCAGCAATTCTTACGTTATGTGGTGAAAGTTTCATTACGCGGGAAACCTATGGACCGCGTTTCACTCGTTAAACTTTATGTCCTAGATTTTGCAAATTTTTGTTCGTTTTATTATCTCGCGTAATCACATTGAGAAGAAAATGCTGTTAATTATTAACGTCAATAGTTTCTTTTTCTGCACAATGTGATTTGAATAAAGTTATTAAATGGTTTTTCGCAGGATGATGCTTGGCCATACGATCGACGATTCGCGGAAGAAATATCCGGAAATCACGGACAAACTTCTGGAGAGTCTGCAAGAGTGGGCAAAAAATCGCAATCTTCCAAAGATTCCTGAAGAGCAATTGGCGTTATTTGCGCACAGTTGTTATTTCGATTTAGAAGACACGAAACGATGTATGGATGCTTATTACAATATGCGAACTACTATCCCGGAATTTTTTAAAGACCGAGATTCCAGACTTGATTATCTGCAGCATTCTCTGAAAGCCTTGTACGTTTTATTTTATATTTTAATTAATTATGTCATCATGATATTGCATCAGAAATATAAATCAGCGATAACAATTTTTTTCAATGCATTAATACATTACTTTTCGTTATTTATGTATATTAATTTTATTTATGTACACTCAAAAAAATATTTCGCTGATGTAGTTAGATTTCTAGATATCGCAACAAGAATGTATCGCTATTTTTCGTATCTGTGAAAACATTGTTTGTCACATATAGAATTTATAGCAGTAATGTTCTAGCAATAGCTTCTGAAAAATTTAGGTACCATTGCTAAATGTTATTCATTGCATGACCTAACACGTGATTGATCTTATATAGATAGGCGCTTTAGAGAAACTTTCTTTTTAAAGTTCACAAACAATACAGATATATATTCTGTTTCTGTCATCTAAACTGATTAAGTAATTACATATGCAATATCACAACAGTTGCTAATCATTTATCTGTTTTAGTTAATTTTTTACACCTAGAAAATTTTAGCTATTATTACAAGATCATTTTTTTGAGTGTATGTTAATTTTTACATTATGGATGCAAAAAACCGCAGAAATTAAAAAAAAAATATTTAGCATATTTATTTTTCGTTTATGCGAGTCGAGCTTACCGATACATCGTTTTAAATAGAAACATATATTCGACAAATCTCTGTTGCAAAGGTAAATTCGCGATGGCATGTGAGCACGCAATCGTGTGGAATGCACATCGAATGATACCTGTATCTCGATCGATCTCTTTTCCTCTCTCTTTATCTATCTCGTTCCCTGATCCCACATCATGTGTACAAATCGCGCGACTGCCAATAGCACTTTGTACTTCAGTACAATATCTTTATCGCTGCAATTTTCCTACGTCGTGCACACCTCGGCACGTCCCACCTGGTACCGACAAACGGGCTGATACCACCAAGAAAGACGCTCTTATTTCCGTGTCTTTTACCTTCCCTCGATTTTGCAGGAATCGTAAAATCGCAAGAATGAAAAATCTCCATCGACACTTATCTAATATAATAATTTATATACCAACTTTTAGATATTTTTATATACATTTAATTTATATATTTTTTTAGTTCTCACTCTTCTATAAAACTCTGTGTACCTATTTATAAAACCAAAGAGATTTTTTCCCGCGATTCTATAGATTTACCTTTTTTACACGATATATGCGGACAAAAATTTAGCACTGCATTGCAGGGAATTCGTGGCCCTTCCGAAGCCGGATCGAAACGGTAACTGGATAATTTTTCATCGACTGGCGGATTCACGGCCGTCCCAATATATGATCAACGACGGCATAAAGCTGCTGTTGATGTCCATCGACGCGAGTCTCTATACAAACGGCTGTTCGCCGGGATACGTGTTTGTTTTCGACATGCAAAATGTGGGGCTTGGCCACTTGACCAGACTATCGATAAACAGTCTCCGAAGGTTCTTCGAGTACCTTCAGGAAGCCATGCCGGTTAGACTCAAGGCCATGCATGTGTTGAATACGGTGTGGTTCATGGACAAAGTGCTCGCGCTCATCAGACCCTTCATGAAGCGAGAACTTTACGAAATGGTAAATTAATCTTCGATTTCTGATTGGATCAAAGCTAACGAATTTTGGTAAATTTGTCTTTAATTAGCAACTTATTTACTGAAGAGCAATCGTGAGGTGCTTCCAGTTGCCCCTGAATTTTCAATTTAGCTTATAAACTTTATACTGTTGATCTTAAATTAAATGCGGATCAGCCAGGCTTGTGCAAGCCAGAAATATTATTACATTTGCATACACATTTACGTATATGCGATGAATATGTATATATCAATATTACAAAGATACACATTGACACTTCTGGTCTCGTACATTGTTAACGCGCGCGCAAATTTACGAATTTAACGCAATCGCGTGCTGGCGATTTGCAAATTGACTTTAATTTTCATTATTTCGTAGCTTCACCTTTATCCGGGTGACGTCTCCGACGTGTATTCTCATATTCCGCCCGAGTGCCTGCCGGAGGACTTTGGTGGGAAATTGGATTGCGTCGCAAACCTTCATAGTAAGTGCATATTGTGTAACGAGTTTGCGCTTAATATCTCCAATGTGCAGTTAACACGCTTCACTTGCTATGTTTCATACCTATATTGCGATTCAAATATTTTAAATAGAGATATCCTATTTTTTAAACACAATTTTATAATATTATTAAAATAATTTCATTGATTGTAAGTAACACGGTTAGTTAATATTTATCGATTTAATTTGCAGAAGAACATTGTATAAAGATAGAGCAATTGCGGGATTATTTTCGGGAAGAAGAAGCTCTGTTCCACAATTATTCGCCTTTGTCAAAATAAACAATCAAAAAGTTATGCAAATTACTTATTACTTATGGAGAATTCAAAAGATCGGTGATGATGGTTGAGCCAATATATAATATGTAATAGATAACTACTTAATATATTATAAACAGATGAATAAACATAGTCGTGACGTAATTAACGCTTTCTAATTCTCATGCATAACCTTCATATATGAATGTCCTTGACTCTAAAAAAAATACTATTCATTACCTATCCTTGCAAAAAAAGTACAAGGATTTTTATATATTTCTTACATATTATACACAATTAGAAAACGGAAAGATTTTCTTAAGAAAAGAATACTTTTAAAATGATCATAAACGCAAATATCAGCGAGAATCAACTTATTCTAATCGCATACCATCATCTGATATAATTTCGGAAAACTAAGTAATTTCGTATTTATCGTTAAACTGAAGTGAATGACTTTTATATATATTTATTATATTTATAATATACAAGTTATATTGAGTGATATATGATTTATAACAATAGAAATAAAAGAGTTTCCTCACCTGTGAGAAACAGAAGAGACTTTTTTTAGTCCGTAATTGCATTTCGAATGATAAGTCAATTGTACCAACCTCACCGATTGATCTCAGAGACCTCGCACGGTGAAAGCGTGAACTTCCGGATTCAGAGTTACCAATGCTAGAAAAATAAATCTTCTATATTGTAAATGACCAGCCAATGATTAAGCAATATTACTGGTGTTATTTGTAGGTCCCTATTCAAAGAAAATAGGGTTAGAAAGGGAAATTCGATGAGAGTAGGAGTACTCGACCTCAAGAGGTCACCACATACAACGTATGTGTTCTCGTCATTGTTTACATTCGTTTACACATAACCTGATATAACCTTTCAGATGTTTACGAGGGGCATAAAGATACAAAAACACTTTGTTGATATCGAAATAATTTCGAAGCCATACCTTATTATTTTCTCGCAATGTAGAACACATTCACTCATTTACTCTTCAGTCTCTGCTCGTGATACCTGAAAGTGATTTCGTAGATAACATTAGTCAATGTGCAAGTTACAATACAAATAAAATTACGGGGAAAAAAGGAATGGCAAATCGATAAATATTTAATTCACTGTTATGTAACATTGATTGTCAAATACTTAACTAGCATCAAAACGTTAATCTCGTTGTGAGATTTTAAAAACATTCGTTAAAATGGTAATTCCGAGGAGATTACGCGAAATCTTGAAAACGTGGTTTAATTTACGCAAAAGAACGAGGCAAGGTGTGCAATCTGCAAAAGATGCAGCTTTTCGCGGTGGTACTATTGTTATTAGTGTTATTTTCATAATTTGGTTATCTATATTTCTTTATACGGCTTTTTACTATGCTTATATGCCCAGTATGTCGTACGTGCGTCCTGTACATTTACAATTCAAGTAAGTTCCACTTCGTTAGCTTCTGTTTTACACATTAATTTATTAAAAATAATGATAATTATAAGGATACCAACACTTAGATATTGTATATTCCAAGAGTGTCAAAGTCTAAAAATGTGGTGGCAAAGATTGCCACAAAATGTGTAATAATAGTAATAAGAAAACTAATGTGATAAAAATTAAATAAAACTAAACGACAATTGAATTAAATAAAAGTAAATTATTTAATAATTTGATTTTAATTAAGAGCAATTAAAAATAAAAGAATAATTTCGTGAATAATTTAAAGGAAAATTAATCTCACTGTTGACGCTTATTTCAGATCATGTGATAAACAAAAAGGAATCTGTAGTTTTCCATACGCTCATGTACAGTTAACCAAAAAGCAACAGCTTTTGATGGTAGGGCAACCGTACAAAGTAAATTTACATTTAGAAATGCCAGAATCCCCAGCTAACAAGGAACTTGGTAAAGTTTTTCATTATATCATTAGTTGAATGTCATATTCTATGAAGTTTTTCTTTCCAGGTATGTTTATGGTTTGTGCTCAAATGCGAAGCCGTGATGGATACCTTGTAGATCATACATGTAGATCAACAATGTTACATTATCGTAGTACATTATTACATATGCTTACAACTCTCACATTTTCACCTATGATGATTTTTGGAAGTGTTGAGGAGAAGCAAGATGTTGTTCTTGAATTATTCAATAATTTTGAAGAGGATCAGGTAACATAGATTCCATTAATAGGAACATTTTACTAGTAATATTTTTTATAAATTAATTATGAATTAGTGTAAATGTCTATATATTTCAGAGTCACCCAGTAACACATTTTTTTCTCGAAATTCAATCACGGCATATTGAGTTCTATTCTGCGACTCTTATGATAAATGCTCATTTATCAGGATTACGTTACATAATGTTTAACTGGCCAATTTTATCAACAATTGTTGGTATTGGTACAAACTTGTTTTTCATAACACTCGTATGTACATTGTCGTACCTACACTTTGCAATTGAAGAAGAAAATACGGATGAAAGTTTCACTTATGAAAAAGGCGAGATAGAAGATGAGAGTGATTTTATGGTTAATAATGATTGTAAGCTATTTTATAATATATGTCAAACTTTCAACGTAAGAGATTTCGCATCATAATTATAAAAATTTATCTTTTAAAGTGTCAGATACATCATCTCAGGAAGACACATCATCTATTTCTCTAGTACGCCTTAAAGGTGACACAGAAACAGAACAGTTTAAGGGAGAACCGGGTTATATCCAAGAAATTTCTACGCTACTTGCTGAATCATCGAGTGCCCAAATGGATAAATGAATGTTTGCTAGTTTGTAATTTGATGTAATGTAAGAATAAGTAAAATAATTATTATTTTGTTATAAAAGTTTATAATATATATCTATGTATAATTATTGAAGAAAATTAAATTAAAATGAAAAAAAGAAAAGTTATTAAAAAAGAGGATATATTTTTTTCATTTTCTATATACTCTAAATCTATTTTCTTTAAATTATTTATATCGATGGTATTGGAATACTTATACACATCATTATGCTAGTCCTGCTTTAAAATATTGTAACTGCAGAAATGCATGTTCGTCTTCATGCAACCCAAGGACGTCAAGTTTTTGTACCATTCGTTTTTAAAATTATTACTTTTTAAATACTTAGAAAATTACATTCTTTTGAAAAGTGGTCATCTAATAATCGAAGAGTATTTATATTTTGCAAACAAAAATTTTTGATATTCTTATTAAAAATGCGAAAGTATACCATCAGTAATTTTATACAATATAATGCGGATTTCGTTACAAATGTTTTGAAATATTAAATTGTATTCGCATGTTAAAAAACTGTATGAAGCATTGCATATTCCATAACAATTACGATTCTCATTATGAATATTAAAACTCGAATTCGGAAAACAATATCAGATATCAGTAACGCGTTGAGAGACACTGGTTGCCTCGGATGACTGGTTGGCTAAGTCGAGATACCGGTCCCATCGTAGAACTAGCCCGAGCTCAAGAAAGCGGAGTGTAGCCGATAGTCATTCCAGCTTCCGTGAGATCTCATACACGAGCGTGGTGCGTATGTAGAAGTGCGTGCTCGCGGAGAGCTAAGAAAAAGATGAGGCGCGCGACGCGTAGAGAAGAGGATAGCAGGCTAAAGGGATACTAAAGGAAAAGTCCAAAGAGAGAGAGATAATTTAACAACCGTGTACAGGCGTTGGTCGTGGTCGGCCGATCGTGCCTACTTCGGACGTTCTCGAGGAGCTTCGTGAGGGTTCGGGCACGCGAGAACCACGCGCATCAAGGTCGCGGCCATCCACCTTTCCCTCGCGGCAAGTGCACGCACAGGCTACAACGTCGACGTCGGGGTCCGGTCGACCCGGCGGCCAACGCCGCAACCAGGATGACCGGCTGTCTCAGTTTCCAGGGACGCAGCTCCTGACAGGAAGAGTTCCACGAAGAAACATCCGATAGTTTTCTTTATTTAATATTTCCAATTAATTCATTCACGTTGATATAATCTAATTTTTGGAATTATGATATTTTTCACGAAATCTGCATCACGTTGTACATTTATATTGTACAGGACCTACGCTTCGGTATCTTTAGTAAAAGTATTAAATATTTTGTACTTTGAAAACACAAATGTTTTTCAAACAACCATCTTTTGAATGCATTATATATTTTTAAAAAATAATACTGTTTTTTGATTTAATGAGGAATACAAAACCATACCGTGTCCTCGGATTGCATCGAGATAATGTATTTCTGCAGTTGCAATCTACTTTGATATAAGACCGATATGATGGATACCAATAAATATTACTGCAATAACATCAATATAAATGATAAATAAATATTGTATAATACAGAAAATAAAAAATATATTTCTCCTGTTTTTTCCTCCCTCATTTTTCTTTCTCATCAATTACAAGTAGTTTGTATAAAAAAAAAAAAAAAAAAAAAAAAAAAAAAAACGATACGTTTCTTGCTATTTTAGTTTAAGCTGTTAAATAAAATTATTTAACAGTACAGTTTTTTAATTGAGCAATACATTTTGGTTCAACCAACAAAGACGGAAGAGATAACCAAGGATGCAATCGATGTGAGATAAAGAGGATGTAAACAAGTTCATTATTAAAACGGATATCGCGGAAATTTAATTTAGCGAAATGCTTATATTACAAAATCCATCTTCGGTGAGAATATTCAATATATTTCCAGAATTTTCCACTCATTTATGTATTAAGTATCGAGCTGCGGCCCTGACTAAGAGAAAGGTGTTGTGGCAGAGCAGAGCCCGTCCTTCGAGAAGAAGCTCGGTCCAGAACTAATCGTCAAAATATAAGGGAGCCCGTCGAGCCACCTGCTCGGTTCGATAGGATACCAGTTACAATACATCAGCAAGAGGATATAGCACTATATCGCAGAAAATTACGGTGAGAGGCGTCCGCGGGACCAGCGAGATACATCGGCGAGATGCTGCCGCGCTTCTTATTATACTTAAGAAAAAAGATTATTCGACGGACCCTTCTAATGAACCCTTTAAATTTTACACACGTAGGCAGATGTGGACGCATGTGTAATATGCGTGTTCGGCAAGCGGCTAAATCAATAAGCACGATCTATAATTTAGGAGAATAATGGCAGTTTTAATTATGTATGCTGAAAAATTGTCGTCACTCGGATATGTAAAAGTGTCTGAAAAAGAAAAATTGTAAGATTTAAAAATGTAAAAGCGAATATGAATATTTGAAATGGTGCGGGAAGAGATTTCAAACTCTTGCACATTCTACAATTATAATAGATAATACATTTTTCACACGTAAATATGTAAATTCAAAATGACGATTCTTCGATATTGTCAAGATTCATGAAATCTAATTACCGGTATGATTTCGTTCTCTCAATCTCTCACGGTATGCTGCAGGCTCCCTGCTCATCATCCGGCACGATCTATCCGCAATTTTTTCTAGTCCCATTATACGTAATGGCGCAATTTGTGTAATGTCCGAACTCGGGCGCTTCCGCCGCTCTTCGGCTACGTCCGGCCACGCGAGCAACACGCGATCGCCGACTTGCGATCGCCTGGACCGGTTTCGGGAACCTGCGCGAGGAGCCTGCGAGTGGCGGCAAAGGGGAGAACCGGTTGCCGCGCGTATCTTTCCTACCTGCCGACCTGCGTATAAACCCCACCTTCTCAGCCTCCTCAATCCACCTCGCCCTCTTGTTCCCCTTTGTGTGCACATATACGCCGATTTTTTGCAATAGGGAGAGAGAAAGAGGAAGAAAGAAGTAGAAGCCGTAAGAAGCAGGCAGCAGGCAACAGAAGCGGGGAGGAGGCAGGAGCGAGGTACCAGAAGATGGCCGGGAGGCTTGACCCTGCCAAGAATCCCGCATCTGCCTGCTCTCTCTTCTCAACCCCGCTCCAGCGGCTAATTTGCCGTCTCCGACTGACCGTGGAACCTGTTAGCGCAGCGAAATCAGCGCGAAGATACAGCCGAGGTTCGAGAGGCGGCTTGAAGATAAACAATCCGTCCGTCATATAACAAGCAGTAAAAATATGACCGATTAATAAGTCGAGATTATTCAACGCTTGTCACAATACGGTTGTGTCATTTAGAGTTTAATTCATCGATTCGGCATAAATCTCATATTTTTTACGGTTTTATGAATAATTTCCAGCATTTATTAATACGCGATATGTCGATATCTCTCTTTCATCAAATTAACGAAGATAACAATGTGCTGTGATGTAAGAACTTAATGTTAATATTGAATGATCAATATTATTTAAAGATAACATAGACGAGAAAAGAGAATACGAGTAAAGGACTATTGTTGTTATATTGTATTATATTACGGTTTTTAAAAGCTCTGAGCAAGCGTTTTTAATTGCACTATGTAAACGTCCACGTCAATGGATTAACTTGTCCTCCTAATTTATGAAAACTCTGCGCATAACGCGCTTTAGATATTTATCTCAGCAGTCTTTTTATCCGGGAGGCATGATTATGCTTTTGTTTCTGCGATGTAGGTACACTCTCTCCGGCCCCTTCTTTGCCCTCTTTCTCACTCCGTTCGCCATCCGTCCCTTCTTGCGCGCCCTTGCACTCTTTCTTTCCTTCTTTCTTTCGTGCGCGCGCGAGTAAAGCTGCTGCATCGGTGTTTGCGGTTTCCCGCAGCCCTGCAGCGGAGAATGCACCTGGACCGACTTGCGCCGACTTCTCCAAGGTACAATCGACGATCGCCGTTTGTCGGTTGTGCTCGGATTCCTTCACGACGGTAGGTAGAGAGGTAGGAGCAAAGGAGGCCGAGAGAAAAAGAGAATTCATTTCTCTCTGCGGACTAAAATAAAAAATGTTATGCCTCGAAATATTTATCATCGTTCCATATTCTTTGTAAAATACATCTTCGGAAATGCAAGCATTTGTATGAAGCACACAATGCTTACTTATCACTCGTGAATTCCATTTTAACGATGGATTCTTTAACGAATTTATTAATTGATCTTTTTTTCGTTAAAAATGTTGAAGCGCGCGGTCCATAATTTTCGAGCTATAAATGAGAAAAGAGAAAGATCTTTTGCGAGAGAACCAAGTATCGAGACAATAGATGAAGAAAATTATAGTTCTTGTTTCATTTTAGAGATGGAAAATGATGACCTCCGTTTCCTATTAATTTTCAATTATTTCCAGTAAGCTTATATGAAGGCAGCTTATATGAAGATATGAAAATCCATATATTTGCCGCCACGATTTAGCCACGATACAAACTCATATTTTGTGAAGAAGACCGTGATCGTGCTGTATTACCATTGAAACCTTTCGACGGCTAGGAATGAACGAGTTTCTCGGCAACGAGCCACCATTACGCTCTTGCTAAGCCGTCTTAGCCGGTTTTACAGGTTTGGATTGACCACAGTAAGTTCGCACATTACGTTGTTTCATTTATGCGAATGCCTTCACAACAGCACTGAAATTTGAACTAAAACGCATATAATGGCGCATAAAGTGGCGCTTTGGGAGACTGTATTTTCCACAATGATCGTTTTCCTTCCTACGAAACAACTATTATTCGATCAAATCATCGAAAATGCTTTTCTATTATAACTTACGACATTATTCTGCACAGGTGTTTAAAATACGGACAAGAGATTTACTTAATAATTTTCACAAATTTAACAGATATACATATATGCAAGACATCTGTAAGCTATATATTCTCCATTTTTGCGCGTATCGTCCGATAACAGTTTAAAATTGAGAAATATTACAATGTAACTAATTTTAATTTTATCAAAGAGTAACAAGTATCTTAATTTTTTTATTCCATCTACTTACATATGTAAAAGAAATTAAAATATTATTATAAAAATGTGAAAAAATAAATTACTTCTCAAAGTA